CCCGGGCCTGGTGCGCCGTTCTGTGTGTATGTCACTGTTTGTTGCCCCACCTCCCCTCGCGGCCGGAGGAGGAGCGGGCCGCCGCGGGCGCCTCGGACGCCCAAGGCCGCCGCGGGCGCGCGGGGGGGGGGAGCGGCCCACGCAGGTCAAGACGGGAGGTGTTTGGTCAGGCGATCGCAAGCATGGATCAAGGGGGCGGAGGGAGGAGGAGGGAAGGCGGGAGGAGGAGGGAAGGGGGAGGACGGAGGGAGGGTCACGAGGAGGATGAGGAGCAGGGAAGGATGAGAATGAGGCAGGGCGGGTGGCGGGATTGAAGGGGGGGATCATGGCGGGGAGGAGGAGGAAGGAGGCGATCGCAAACATGGATCAAGGGGGCGTGGATTAGCGACAGGCTCCGTTTCCATGGGAGATCGCAGATTTCTGCCGCCGAGCGAGGCGGCACCGGCCGCATTTTGGGGAGGCCACCTCCCCCCGATCCATGGATTTGGCGACCGCGCGCCAAGTCCATGGATCGCTAATCCATATTTGCGCGCCCCCGAGTTTGGTCAGACACGCCGGAGACACCCCAGAGCCTCCCCATCCTCGTCCTTGGCCCTCGCGGCCGCACCCCGATCCCAGGCCAGGCAGGATTCGAGCGAGCTCACCGCACGCTAGATGGCCGAGCATCCGCGACGGACACAGGAGGCGCACCGCTCTTGGCATTGGGCACGATGGGCGGATTGGTGCTTTTGAGGCGCCGCCGGGAAAGCAGCGGCAGCCTGCCCCACGAGCGGGCAGCCCCTGAGGTCCCTGCATCCCCTGGCGCTCCCAGAATCTGGCACAGCCTGGTACCAGCGGCGGCGGCGGCAGCCAACAGCCTGGAGCAGGAGACCCTGTACGCGCCCTCCCCTTCTGATTCTCAGAAGCCCTGGAACCAGAAGCCCTCACCCCTCCTCCTCCACCCTCGGAGGAGGCCCGGCCTCCCCCTCAGCCTCCGCCTCTTCGGCCACAAGGAGCCCCCGCCCCCGTCCGAAGATCAGGAAACGGCACGAGGACCGTCGATCGGCGCGCGCCCTCTGGTGCGGGCCGCCGTGAGCGGCCGCCCCCCCCCCCGCCCCCGAAGGGCTCTTTCTGTGCCCCGCCGTCGGGGTCTCGGGCTAGACCTGTGTCTTGGTTTCGGCTCTGGGCAGGTGTAGTCTGGGGGCCCGCTTTCTGGGAGAGAGTCTCATCTGAGCCACCTCCTCCATTCCTTCTCCTCATGATTTGTTTTCCCCTGTCGCACCCCGAGGCCAGTTTTTTGGGCGGGCCGGGCGTTTCGCCTCAAATTTCCTCAACCATTTGTGACCCTGAAGCTTAATAAACATTGGCAACAGCTTCACAGATGGAGGGCGGGTGGTTGTCAACATGTGGCTGTCGCCTTAGCGCCGCGCAGATTCGTTTTGAGAATTTGCAAGACCTTCTCGGATTGAGGGCGACCCGTTTTCAAAATGTGGATCTCGCCTTCGCGCCGCGCACATTCGTTTAAAGAATTTGCAGGACTTTCGCGGATTGAGGGCGACCCGTTTTCAAAATGTGGTTCTCGCCGTAGCGCCGCGCACAATCGTGCTAAGAAGTTGTAATAGTTTCGTGGATTGAGGGCGACCCGTTTGAAACATATGGCTCTCGCCTTAGCGCCGCGCACATTCGTATTGAACATGTGCAAAAGCTTCACGGATTGAGGACGATTCGTTTTCAAAATGTGACTCTCGCCTTTTCGCCGCGCACATTCGTATCAATAATTTGCCAGAGTTTCACGGATTGAGGGCGACCCGTTTTCAACATGTGATTCTCGCTTTAGCGCCGCGCGCATTCGTATTCAAAACCTGCAAGAGCTTCACGGATTCCCGTGATCAGCGTACCAGAAATGGTGTTTTGGAAGGGTTCAGGATTACGAGGGTGCAACAGTTACGTTGATTCGCAGTGTTGAAGTCACAGGAATGGCGTTCTGGCGCGATTCAGGATCGCCAAGATGCAGCAGTCAGGTTGATCCGTGGCGTTGGAATCCCGAAAACAATGTTTTGGCATGCTTCCGTGTCTTCAAACGGTTGTCTTCCAACGAGGCAGTTCCCTCAGTGGAAATGAACCCTTGTAGGGGCCTATGAAAACGGAGCTTGGAAGGAGGGTTTATTCCAACATCGTTGATGATTCCTGAGTTTACACTGGTCCTCCTCCTCCTCCTCCTGTTCCTCCTTCTCCTCCTCCTCCTCCTCCTCCTCCTCCTCCTCATCTTCCTTCTCCCCTCCGCGCGCGCCCTCCGTGCCGGCCGCTTTGGGCGGCGCCCCCACCCGCCTGCGAGGGCTCTGCCTGAGCCTTACTGTCGCGGGCTGCGCCTGCGGCGTGTTCCACGGGCACTTCGGGCCCCGCGAGCTCGAGGGGCTGCGGCGCGAGGCCTCTTGGAGGGCGCAGAGGGTGACGATGAAGACGAGGAGGGCGATGAGGATCCACAAGGGGGTGGCTGGAGGACGAGGACTCCTGGGCCGCCTGGGCCCTCGCACCCCTCGCCCCTGCGCCGCCAGACGGAAGGGCGCACCGGTGGGCTTTGGGATTTTGCAGGAGGAGGTGGGGGAGGAGGAGGAGGAGGAGGAGGAGGAGGAGGAGGAGGAGGAGGAGGAGGAGGAGGAGGAGGAAAAGGAGGAGGAGGAGGAGGAGGAGGAGGAGGAGGGGAGGTGGGGGAGGAGGAGGAGGAGGAGGAGGAGGAGGAGGAGGTGGAGGAGGAGGCGGGCATTTCCCGCTGTAAGCGGGCCCCCAGACGCCCGTCAGGGCTCTGCCAGCCCGACTGGGCTTCGACCTCGCCGACGGCGCGGCACGCGGCACGGCGCGCGGCACAGCGCGCGGCCCAGCACGCGGCGCGGCACACGGCACGGCACGCGGCACGGCACACGGTACTGCGCCGACGTAGATGGCGCGCGGATGTCGTGGTGTTCCTCGGGCGCGGACGCGGCGCTCCTCGGGAGCGGGCGTCGGCCCCTCGAACGCTTCTCAGCCGAACCCAGCGCGGTGACGAACGGGCACTTAAAACCGATCGAATTCTTGCGCGACGAGGGCCCCCCTGAATCCTCGTGCCGATGGCCGACTACCCACGGCTCATGGAGAAAGAGGAGAAGGACCATGAGGGGCCGGAGGATGGCGAGGAGGAGGAGGAGGGTGTGCAGGATGGTGTTTTTTGGCTACGGCGATGCTGAGTACGATGATGATGGTTGCGATGGCAATGAGGATGATGATGACGATGACGATTGTGGTGGTGATCCTGGTGGTGCTGGTGATGGGGATGATGAGAATGACGAGGATGATAAGGAGGAGGAAGAGGAGGAGGAAGAGTTGGAGGACGAGGACGAGGACGAAGACGAAGACGAGGACGAGAAGTAGAAGGGGAAGTGTGCGGGGGAGGAGGCGTAGGATGAGGGCAAGCTGAAGGATAAGCAGAAGGAGAAAAGAAGGACATGAGGCGAGCGCTAGCGGTACGTATTGGGAAGCGGCAGTGGGAGTGGGAGCAGGGGTGGGTTTGGTGAACGGGGCGGCGGAGCAGGAGCTGAAGCACGAGAAGGCGAGGGTGTGGGAAGCGCAAGCACGGATTAAGGCGCTTAGATTAGCGACGGGTCCTGTTTCCATACGAGATCGGCGCGGTGCGCCGCCAAATGAGGCGGCACTTGCCTCACGTGTCGGGGGCGCCTCCCCCGATCCACGATCTGGCGCCCGCGCACCAGGTCCACGGATCACTGATCCAGATCAGCGTGCGCCCGAGAAGGGAAGGGGCGATTGGGGAGGGCAGCCACGGCTTACGGGCAGGGGCAGCAGCGGGGAGCAGAGGCGGGAGCAGGAACAGACGCCTGGGCCGCGGCAGCTGTGATAGTGGGCGTAGGCATGCAGTGGGCACGTCAGGAAGCTCAAGGCTCGACGACGAGCGTACGTACCCCTACACTCCTTGCTGCAAGATTGGCCTGCCTCTCTTCCAGGGGGGCGTTGTCGTAGACGCATCTTGGCGCCGTGTGTCCAGATGAGAAACCCAACACCGTGTCCCAAAAGGGCCCTCTTAGGTCGCGTGAGGGCTCCCTCGGCGGCCGCCTGGGACCTCTTGGGGGCCTCTTGGGGCCACCCTGTGGGGAAGGGCCCTCGGGGCCCCGTCTGGTTCCCCCTCTTGGGCTCCTAATAGGGCCCTCGTGGGGGTCTCCAGGAGCCATCTTGGGGCCCTCTTGGGCTGGCTAGGGGCCCTCTTGGCCTCTTGGGAGCCTTTTGGGCCGTCTGGGAAGACGCCACAAGCCTCCACCCCGGCTCTACACTGCCTCGATCCTCGATGCTGGCTCGGACCTCGAAGACACAAAGCGTCGACCCTCGATCCTCGACCTGGGACCTCGATCCTCGATCCTCGACCTGGGACCTCGATCCTCGATCCTCGACAAAACGTCGACGCTCGATCCTCGACCTAGGATCTAGACGCCAGAAGACCCCGATCCTGGCTCGGAGCCCCGATCCTCGGAGGGGGCGGCAGGGGGGGGAGGACAGCACAGGGGCAAGCCTGGCTGTGGCCCTGACGCCGTCGTGGTCGCCGTCTTCTTCGGCGTCTGCGTCGGCGGTGGCGTCATCGTCGGCGTCGGCGTCGGCGTCGGCGTCGGCCAGCGACGTCTTGTCGCTTGCCGACGTCAGCGTCGGCGTCGGCGTGGGCGTCGGCGTGGGCGCGGGGCTGCGCTTTTCTCAGAGCCTTGGCAGGTAGGCATGGGCGAGTTCGCCTGGGCCACCTTCCTGAGGCGCGCGCCTGCGCCCGCCCCCCTTTCTGCGCCCCCTCCCCACGGAGGAGCAAAAGGCAGGAGGAGGAGGAGGAGGAGGAGAAGGAGGAGGAGGGATGTCGCGGTCTTCGCTGCTTTTCCAGGAGTTCTCGACCCATCGTCCCCTCGCTGTGCCGCGAGCCGTGCTTGTGACTTCGTCGGGGTTGTGGTGTTGATCTTGCATGGCGCGGTCTTCCTGCAGGAGGCAGGCCGCGCCGCGCCCCTGACGCTACGGGCAAGATTGGCCCGACAGCATGTCGAAAAGTAAAACAGGAGGAGGGATGGGAAGGGGGAGGGTGGGGAGCAGGGGGGAGGGGATAGGAGGGGGAAGGAGGGGGAGGAGGAGGAAGGGGCACGAGGAGGAGGAGGCGGAGGACCAGTGTAAGCCCAAGACGCGTCAAAGATGTTACAATAAACCCTCCCTCCAAATTCCCTCCTCGTAGGTCCCTACAGGAATCGATGTTCATTGCAGGACGTGCCCCATTGGAAGACAACCGTCTGAGAATCCTCAACCGTGCCAAAACACGATTCCTGGGACTTCAGCGCTGAAAATCAATGTGAGCGTTTCGTCCTGGCCACCTTCAATGCGCCAGAACACCATCCCTGGGATTTCAACGCTGGGAATCAACGTAAATGCTGCGTCCTGACAAGCCCCAGTCTTGCTAGAACGCAATTCCTGAGATTTTACCATACGAGTCCTTGAAACTGTTGCATACTTGCAAAACGAGTGTGTGTGTGTGTGTGTGTGTGTGTGTGTGTGTGTGTGCGGCACTGAGGCGAGAGCCACATTTTGAAAAGGAGCCGCCCTCCATCTGTGAAATCGTCGCCAACTTCGAAAACGAATGTGCGCGGCGCTAGGGCGAGAGCCACATTTTGAAAATTGCCCGCCCTCCATCCGCGAAACGAGTCAAACTTGCAAAAAGAATGCGCGCGGTGCTAAGGCGAGAGCCACATTTTGAAAACGGCACGCCCTCCATCCGCGAAGCTGTTGAGAAGTTGAAGCTTCTGGATTATATAGTGAGGAAGTCTCAGGCGGCACGTCCGGCCCACCTTACCCACACGTCTGGGGGTGCGACAGGGCGGTCTTATATAAGGGGAAAGGATGGGGGAGGAGGAGGAGAAGGAGGAGGAGGAGGAGGAGGAGGAGGAGGAGGAGGAGGAGGAGGAGGGGGAGGAGGGGGAGGAGGAGGAGGGGGAGGAGGGCGAGGGGTTTGTGACTGGTGCCAGGTGACTGCCAGCCACGGGGTCGCAGCACGCTTCGGGATCCCACGTTAGTCTTCGATGTCTGACTCTAGATCTGAAGTGTCGTCGGTGCCTCCGCCCGTCTCGGTTACATAAGTCAGGAGTGTGATCTTTTGTTTTCCTTGGTAAGCTGATACATTCCTCCTCCTCCTCCTCCTCCTCCTCCTCCTCCTCCTCCTCCGCCTCCTCCTCCTCCTCCTCCTCCTCCTCCTCCTCCTCCTCCTCCCGACATCGTCGGGTCCGCGTACATCCTCCAGGGGGGCCTCGATGGCGCACATGATTCCCATGGGTCGGTCTCTTGTTCAATGTTGGGTACCCGTCCAGAGGGTCAGCCAGGCCCGTTGGGTGCGTTGGGGTGGGTGGAGCGCACCAGGATGGACGCACATCGTCTCGTATGTTCGTATGTTCGACGGCGATGGCCTGCTTTCAAGTCCCCAGGGGGCCAGCAGTTCGGCCTGCAGCGCAGAAGCAGATCCGCAACTCCACGGGCAGCGGCAGACGCGCGCGTCCCCAAGCAATGTCAGAAGCTTTTCGGAGCCGTCGCCCTCGCGATCCATCCTGCCAGGGGGCTCCTTGTGCAGGCGGCAATGGTCGACCACGTATGCGCCACCCCCGTCGCTTGTCAGGCACACGGTTGTTTGGGCGTGGCACGAGCCTCTCCAGCCCTTGGGCGCCATCCCCGTTGGGCTGGAAGGCTCTCTCGGAGTGCGCGGCGAGTTTTTTTGTTATCGGAAGCGGGAGCCGCCAGGAGGGCTCAGAGCGTTGAGCCAGATGTGCAGTGGCGGAGACGAGTGACTGGGAAAAGGAGGCGGAATGGTGGTGAGAGGGGGGAGGGTCACAAGGGAACCGAGCAAGGTGCGCACGTATAGCGGGAGGAGGGGGTCGAGGGGGAGGGGGGGGGACAGAAGGAGAGGAAACGGTGCACGTACGTAAGTAACGACAGGCGGAGGGGGAGAGAAGGCCGGGATGTTGAAGCAGCGTTCCGAGCCTCCCCATCGCACCTACCTTCAGGGCGTCCCTGGGCGACTAGGGTTGGCTTTGCCTTGTTGTTGCCGCCAGGCTCCAAAGGATGCTCTAGAAGAGCCCAGCGGAAAGTACAGAACTCGACTGAACGCAGAAAACCAGACGGTTGTACACTGCTGCGATTGTTTACGTAGACCTGTCGAGTGTAGACGGGCGTCGCCGCCATTTCCAGGCAGGCGACTCCAGGAACTCATCCTATGGCGCGCCTCTGCTGGATCGAATATTGCGTCCTGCCCAGGGTTTCTTGCAGCCTGGTCAAAATTGGCAAGACCCATTTCCAGAAAGGCGGGGTGAGGATGCGAAAGCCTCATTTTCAAGTAGTCTGCGGCCGTGTCTTCAGCAGAGAGGAAGGGGGCAGGAGAGTGAGGGGAAGGAGGGAGGCAATGGAGGAGGATGAGGAGGAGGAAGAGGAGGAGGGATGGATGATGACGGAGGAGGGGGAGAAGAAGGTGGAGGAGGAAGAGGTGGAGATGGAGGTGGAGGAGAATGTGATAAAGGGAGGACGGGAGGAGAAGGGAGGAGCAGGAGGAGGACCAGGGTAAGCCCAGCATGTCCGACTGATGCGACAACACTTTCAACCTATCTCGTGTCTCCCCATCACAGGTCAAACCACTTCAAATTGGTTATCGTCGCTGCGACGAGCGCCCGCCAAAAATGGAAGGGCCACATGGACCTGTATGGTTCCAGGCCTCCCAAGGTTGGTCCGAGTAGGTCGCGCCGCATCGCCGATGCCTCGGCGATGCGGCTTGATGTGGAGCCCGATTATCTCCACGCCGAGGGCGCCGATGCATCGCCGAGACGGCGCGATTCTCCGACCCCATCTACTCGGACCCCGTTTGGGAGGCCTCCAAAGGCGTGCGGCCTCAGCGTTTCTGGACTGTCGCATCAGCGGTCACAACACGACGCGTGTTCAGATCAGACCGTGCAGCACCACAACACCGTGACCAGCCCAAGCGAGGGAGGCGCCCTCCGCCCCGTGCGATTCGCTGACGCGGCAAAGACAGGTGCGCGCGGCGCCGCGGCGAGAACGCGACCTTCAGAGGAAACGCCCTCCGTCTAGCGTGCTCCGGCAAGGGCATCGCCTTCGGGCGCATCCTCGCCCTCGGCGGGAGCAGAGCGGCGGCGGGTTCGAAGGCGGAAGGTCGGCGCAGGTCAGTTTTGGACGCCGGGGATTCCAGAGCGGGCCATCAGTGCAATTGCTGGTTTGGATTTCCAGGCTGGGTGCTCCTAGTCACGGTTGGTCCGATACAGGAAGAGTTTTGAGAAGGTGTGGCGTTTTGAGAAGGCAGTGGGGGGCGGCGAGAGAAGCGCTTTGAGAAGCGCTGAGAGGCGGCAAATGTGTGGCGCTTTGAAAGGCAATCCGTGCGTCTGCTGGGAACTGCTTACACGGACAGAGACGTCTCAGGCGGATATGCCGGCCCCGCCGTGCCGACATTTTCGAGTGGTGCTGCGACCACGGGGCACGACTCATTCGGGGAGAGGGGTGGAGGCATGGGAGGGGAAGGGGGGGGGAAGGCGGAGGAAGGACGAGGAGGAGGAGGAGGAGGAGGAGGAGGAGGAGGAGGGGGAGGAGGAGAAAAAGGAGGAGGAGGAGGAGGAGGAGGAGGAGGAGGGAGGAGGAGGAGGAAGGTGGATGAGGCACAGGATGTGAGGAGAAGGAGAAGTAGGAGAAGGAATAGGAGAATAAGTAGGGGGAAGAGGAGGGGGACGTGACGGAAGAAGGAGAAAGCGTAGGAGGAGAAGGAAGAGGAGGAGGGAGGGCAGGACGAGCAGGTGTGGGAGGTGGAAAGAGCACAGAAGAGGGAGCAGGAGGAGGAAGAGGAGGAAGGGGAGGAAGAGCAGGAGGAGGAGCAGGAGGAGCAGGAGGAGCAGGAGGAGCAGGAGGAGGAGGGGGATGATGTGCTTCTTGGGCACACTTTGCAGCGCTCGGGGCGCACGTTGAAATGCCGTGACGTTGCTTTGCGAAAGCTCCAGGGAATGTTCCATTCAAACTCTAGGCTTCTGCATAACCAGGCGCTGTCGGTGGCTGAGCGGTGCAAGTTCTGGAACGGGATCTCCAACAGCCTGTTATCCTACTACTGCCCCCGGTGGCATATGAACAAGAAGGGGCTGAACGCGCTGGACGCTGCGCAGCTCCGCTTTGTGTCTGCTATCCAGCGAGTGGGGCGGCGGGACGGGGAGCCGTACCGTGCATGGAGGACGCGGCAGGCCAACTCAGCCAGAAGTCTCCGGGGCAAACCGTGGAGTTATCTTTGCATCGAGCGCTGCATGAACTGGAGCAGGCACCTCGAGCGCCACCCGGACATGCCGGCTGCGATGGCTCTGAAGGTGCAGCCACCGACTTGGCTGCGCGAGCGCAGGGCTGAGCAACCCAGCAGCGCGCGCCACTCGCTTGAGGGGGGCGTCACCGGCACTCGGGCGAGCGGGGGTCGCCCCAGCCGCTGGGAGACATCATGGGCAGAGGTGATGGAACCAGAGCCTGGCCGGCGCCAGGCCACAGAGGCTGAGGTCAGCCGAGCCATGCGCATAATCTTGTGAAGATTTTCCTGCATTGTCGTCCCGCTTCTGTGTGCTCTCCCTTCTTCCCTCCTCTCCTCCGCCTTGCCTGCCCCGTGCCTCCCCCGCTCCGTCCCTCTCCGTGGTTGTGCCTCCGCCCCCCCCCCCCTCCTGTGCTGATTCTCTTATGCGTGTTTGTATTTGCTGACAGAGCATGTTTTTCTATGTGTTGCTGATCCAGCAGTGTAGCATGATCGTGTAGCAGAGTAGCAGTGCAGCATGTGCAGCGTACCATCTCATCACAGATGTGAACGAACGAACGAACGAGGAGGGGGATGGGGAGGAGCAGGGGGAGGGAAGAGGCGGGTGAAGCGTGGAGGGGCCTCCCGCCAGGCTGCTCGCATCCGCGCTCCGCGGGGAGGGCGGCTGCGCGGCCACTGTCGAGCGCAGGGTCGGCGGAGGCGCGGAGAGCAGGAGCGGTAGGAGGGGCGGCAGTGGGGGCGGGTCGAGCAGCAGCAGCAGCAGCAGCAGCAGCAGCAGCAGCAGTTTCGTCAGTGTTGTCAGAGATTTACCAACCCTTGTCCTCTCTCTTCCCGTTCCTCTCTATCCAACTGGATCCTGCGATTTGCAGTGCGGTCTATAACCATGCAGTCAGTTTCATAGCATGCGCGATGTTGGGCCTCACCTTCCTTGCAGCCTTCGGAAGGATCCTCACCATAAGCTTGTGCAGTTGCCCCTGGGCCATAGGAGTATGTGCAGCATGTAGTCCCGTCATCACTGCATGTGCGTTCGAAGAGGACGATGACGAAACTATGTAGCTGTTTTGGCCCAGGCGAGCATGGATGGCGTAACCTGCCACCATTGATTCCAATTATCCGCCGCCTGAACTCGTTCCGCCCGTTCGGAACACATATTTCACGCACTCGACCAAACAGTCCGTTGATGTTTCTCTCGTGTGGGTAATGGCGTATAAACCCGTTGGGGTCGACCTCGACAGCTGCAAGAAAAACATCCGAGACCCTTTGCACCGGATGCGAGCCTATACCAGGACCCCCCCATTCTTTTTGGCAGTGGATGTCACGACGTTGTGCATCCAACTCGTGATCCCCTCAAGCATCTTCGACACGCTCTGTACGCCTGTGCTGAATCGCAGCTCTTGGACCACTTCGCTCGCGTTTTGGAATTTCCTGCGCATGATACCCGACGGCAGAATAGGTTATCGATTGCGACACATGCTGCCACATGCATGCTTCAACAAGCTGAATCCCGTCGTGTCTGCAGCACTGGGTTTCAGTGCGATGTGTTCTTGCACACTGGATCATGGCATGAATACCTTCATCCACAGCAGGCAGGGGCGCTCTATTCTCACCGATCTGCACTGCATGATCTCAGCTTTGCTCGACGATTTCATCATTAAAAAACAACATTGGATTCGACTCCTACTGCGAGCTAGCAATCCGTTTTTCCAAGCAGCCGTATTGTATACCGCCGCCGACCCGGAACGATGACATGTTTTCCAGCTTCTTATTTCGACAGTATTGGCATGCGACACATGTTCAGCAAGCCACTGGTGTCCTATATGCAGGTTTCTCCTTTGAGTCATCGGTTTGGTATGTGGGTCACACCACAGGAGCCCGCAACCGACAGCGAGTTGATGGACCAGCGCTACGGCTTCGTGAAGATGTCCGGTCGGCATTCCAAGAAAGTGGTGACCAGAAGGTTTGACCACGATATCGGGTACGGCGAATCTGTATTATCTGGAGTTCCGCGCTCTTCCCAATTGCGTGGGGTGATGCCCAAACTACTGCAGCCTATGAGTCCCTGGCCATCAACGTTCTACGACCCCCAACCCAGGCTGGCTTGGGACCATCGGGAGTTGGACAAACCACACGACCTATACCATGTCGATATCGTCGACAGCTACCCACAAGACACGCAGAGCTCACGGCCAACCTCACTAGCCAAGTCAAGGAATCCAGTCAATGCGGCGACGCCTTCACGCTTCTACTGCGTTTGACGCTAAATTGCTGGACTATTACAAACAGTGTAGCACAGCGACGGTTGAGAAGTACATGTGCTGACGGCAAACTGCTTCACGGTTGGCGCCTTTCTTTGGACACGGTTGGACTTCCGAAAGCAGCGGCGCCATGGCAATGTTTGCTCCGTCGCTCTCGATGTATTGGGCGCGTGCAAGCACCCACCATACGACGCCAAAGTCCGAGCACGCCGATTCCCATGGCACGTGTTTGCAATTTTTTCCAGACATAAGCTGCAAGCTCAAAGATCAAAGCTCCCCATGGTTTCTGACGGTTTATTTCAACAACAGGATGCGACACGAGTTTTCAGTCGGCCGATACCGATGTCTACGTGATGTTGACGAGGACCGCTTTCACATAGTGTGACATGGGCATGCCCGTATTGGGATGTTCCGCTACCGCTGTCTACTAAGTTGGCAACGACCAGCGCGACGATGGATTACGAACTCACTTTGCGAAGTACCAGATCCAAGGGAAATTCCCTGGCCTGGAGCGACCCGTTCAACCCAAGATGCCGAAGAACGTGGGTATCCGGATGCTTGTTGAAGCTCGTTTCCCCGTGGAGTCTTTAACATCTACCGGGTCGCCGATACATCAGCTTCAAGACAATTTCACTTCTCAGCTTGCAATGTTATGTTGGGTGCCCGTCGACAAAGACCCGCACCGTCGAGCTGCGATACCGTGGCCCTGCTATGTATGGAAGCTTGGCCAATGTTGCGTGCATGGCCCAGTTCACTACACGCAGCCCGAGAAGTGGAGTGCGAAAGTGGTGCGTAGAACGAATGAAGAGATAGGTACGCAAATGCATACCTGAACGCTGGTGCAACCCCGACGTTGCGAAATTGCAGACGTTGTTCGAGCCTACGCCACGGTCAGCGCGACCTGTATCGACAAGAACTCTGGAGACTTTTATCGTACTTAAACCTCATGCTCGCAATCACGAAATTTGTGCTGCGCCTAATGCTTGCCAGCGTAACTACATACGAAAAGCTGCCAGAAACTACGATTGGCTACAGAACCTAGCGGTGATGAGATGTTGACGTTATGGGAGATGCTTAGCCGACCATACGTTCATGCTAGGCTACGAGCCCTGGAACATGTTCCTGAGCATCATTGATATCGATGCCCTTGCGGAGCCCCCAAGACCTCAATATCGTGGACACACGCGGATGCAGCGGCGGCGGCGGCGGCGGGAGAGGGGGGGGGGGAGGGAGGAGGGAGGGAGGAGGGAGGGAGGAGGGAGGGAGGAGGGAGGGAGGAGGGAGGGAGGAGGGAGGATCGGATCGACTCGGCAGGGGGAATCGTCATCTCCGCAGCGCCGCCTGGGGTCCTTCCATTGATGGGGGGGCCTCAAAACCAGTTGCGGCAGTATTTGGATCCCGCCCCGCCCGGCCGACGAACACCACCCAGGCCCCAACCATCCACCCTTGGAGGAAGGAGGAAGGAGGAGGGAGGATCATTGACCAAGCTGCCAGGTCTGCGAGCGGGCCCCCATTGAACAGTTCTTCTGGCGAGTCATGGATAAACCAAGGAACTGCAAAAGGGGGACACCCACAGTCTGGGGGGAGCACCCCAACTGGCAGCCTGTTATCGTGGTTGCTAAAAAAAGGCCCGCCTTTCACCAGCAGCCCTTTAGGCACGCGCTTTAGGCACGAGTGGCACGTGCTGGTGGCACGTGCTGGGGAACGTGCTGCTGGCACCTGGTGCTGGGACCTGCTGCCGGCACCTCCTGCTGGCACACGCTGTTTGCGCATGCTGCTGGCACGTGTTGTTGGCACGTGCGGCTGACACGTGCATATGACAAGTGCTGGGATTTGTGTGCCACCCGAAGAGCGATGTGATACGAAGGAATGACTTGCGGCACGAGTGGTGCCAGACGGTCTGCAATTTGTGTTAGTTTTTTGACGGGCTAGCACCGCCATAGCGTAGTTGGTGGGGCGGGGGTGGAGGCAGGGAGTCTGCAGCACAGGGGGGCAGGGAGGTTGAGGAAGAGGAAGAAGAGTTGGGCCCTGCGGAGGCGCAGTGAGCGCTGCCCGCCTACAGCAGGAGCGCGCGCTCTGTCAAACCCACCTATGACGTCCTGGCGGGACGGCCCAACCCGGGGTGCGAGGAAAAAAAGGCTGGATACAACAAAATGCGTTGTGCCGTCCTGGTGGGACGGTCCTTCGCGGGCGCTGCGAGGACGAGGGGGGGTTCGACATTGGAGACAACGCACCTGAAGTACTCTGAGGATGGGGAACGAGCCAGCAGCGAATGCGCCCGCGCATGGATGGGGGGGCCTGAGGGCACTGAGAAAATGATGAAGGCCTTCTAGCGTAAGCAACGGAACGCGGCCTTGCCGAAGGAGATGCGGCACGGCTGATGGCAGGACTTCTGCCGCACGTGTTCTTCTATTTTCTTGTTTCATGAGGAGCGCTGCCACCGCCATCAATTGCGTATCGAGACCGCTGGTGAGAGGAAAGGAGGAGTGGGAGGAGGACGGCGAGGACAGCGGCGGAGTCCCAACCTTCAGGAAAACAGCCGTGGCGCCCCGAGGCCCATGCTGGCGCTCCTGAGGGGTGAAAAGGCCCCACCGCCGATTGCCGCCTTCCCCCCAACGGCGGGACAACCGCTCCCTGCGCGTCGGACCTGCGGGAGGGGAAGGTCAGATTGGAGGACAGGAAAGCTTCGGGCCCAGACGCGCCAGTCCTAGGGGGGCCAACCATGATCGTCCAAACCGATCTTTTCACTTGCCAATACGTCCATTTGACACGCCTCCATCTTCGCTGTGCACCTTCCCATCCTTCAAACTCGTACGCTTTGATGTCGTTCTCTGGTTCAGCGTTACGCTACACCACCCTGTACTACCACGTTCGGCAACACGCGCCACCTCGGCTACTGCATTTATGTCGTTCGCCCTCACAGCTAGCACAAGTTACGTGGCAATTCTGGCCTGCGATTGCTGCATGCTGCAAGCAATGACGCAACGATTCCGTCGACTTCTCTCGACCCTGCCTGGTACCGCACGGGTATATATATATATATATATATACATACATACATACATACATACATACATATATATATATATATAGAGAGAGAGAGAGAGAGAGAGAGAGAGAGAGAGAGAGCGAGAGAGAGAGAGAGAGAGCGAACACCAAACGAGCAGTTGCACGCACATTATTACGGGTAGCTTCAGCGCGAGCCTTTCTCGATCCACCAACCTACCAGCAGCTCCAAACAACACAGCTTCTACTCAACGGCTGGACCTCCCCCAAGATCTATCTTTTGAGTTGTTTTGCGATTCCTCTTCGTCGTCGCTCTCGTCGATGTCGTCTACTAGTCCTTTTTCCTCCGTCGTCGTCAACCTCCTCCTTCGCATGCTTCCCGAATCGTCCTCCGAGAATTACCTCTTCTTCATGTCCCCTTCTCTTGTAGCAGGAGGA